ACCCCAAAAAAAAAATGTTGGGTTTAAACGAAATCTATTTAGGATTCTGAGCGTACGTTTTTTATGCCTTCTGTAGGAGCAAAATTATTTTCAACGTAAAAAAATATAATAATAATAATAATATATATATWTTTTTTTTGAGAACCACTAGAAGTGGCGAGGAAAAAAACAGGGTTTTTCATAATAAACCATTGCTGGCGAACTATTTTATATTTTGAAATTGAAATATACATTTTTTTATTGTCTTAAAATATCATGTGTATAGTCTGTAGGCAACTTTTTTTTTTTTTAATATTTTTTCATTTTTTTTTTAAATTTTTTTCTTTCGGTTTTTTATTTTTAACTTGTGTTTGACTAAGAATTTCAAGATGTCTTCGAGACAAAAGTTTTTTGTGCTATTATTTTATGTAACATACATTTTTTGACAAGGATTTTATTGTTAACTTCAAAATTGCCTTATAGAGTCTATAAAATGTTGGAAACATATAGCCCTATATGCCAGAATTCACGAAAACTGTTTTTTTTAAATGTTCGAGTTTGTTTTATTGAAAATCTTTTTTTTTTTTCAATCTATTGAGAATGACTTATAGTCCTATAATAAGATCTTTGCAAGCAAGAGTTCTTCTCGACATTTTGAGCATCGTTCGACTGTTTGCTTGATTTTTTGTTTTGTCCTTTGGAAAGTGGACGAAAATGTATTTTTTTTTAAACCAGAAACAAAAGTTTGAGTTTTAATTTTTTACTCTATACAAAATGTTCGATTTTATGTTTTTGTATGGTTTTCACGAATCTTGTGTTCGTGGTAGAGTTAAAAAAAATGATTACATGATGGAGAGGGGAGAGGGAGAGGGAGTGAAAGATTGGGTTAGTGAAAGAGAGGTGATACCAAGCTCTTGGGTGACCAAGAGCAATCAAATCAACCTCTTAGAAGAAGGGGGTCTTCAACTGCTGCAGAAACTGCAAGCAGGGCCTGAAGATCTTATCAAACTGATCAGATCTGCCAAATACATGGTTTGGGATATATTTTGATATCCCAAACGAATACTCTACTTGTAGTGCAACGCCCTATCTAGCGAGGTTTTCAAACTGCTGCAGACGAATTGCAATGGATGAATCTGATCAGATGGATCAGATCTGCTGTAGAGCAGCCCCCTAGCAAAGGGGTCTTCACACAGTGTCACGTGACACTCTTGGAGATGACCACGAGGAAAGGGAGAAAAGAGACAGGCAAGGGTAAATACTATTTTGCTCATAATTTTTCACCCGCTGGGTGAAATTTAGCAAAAGAGGACCCGTTGGAAAGCTTTTCAAAAGGCGCTTCCGATGAAATATGGCGCGGTATCAGCCGCACTTGCAGTAATAGCGCTCGCTGAAAAACGAGCGCGCGCGATTTTGGAGTCTGGAAAAAAACAATTTGCGATCTTTAAATAATTGTAACTTCAAAACTAGTGCACCAAATTTCGCAATCTATGACTCGTTGGAAGCGGCTCGTCGAGAGCTTTACAAAAAGTCAAAGATGAGAACAAATGGATACCGGATTCAAAAGTTATGAAGCAAACGTGCACCGGTATCATTAGGGGGTAGAAGTGACGAGCGTTTTGCTTAAGCCACGTGGCAAGTGATGGAGGGGGTGGGCGAGGGAAGGGAGCAGGGAGAAACGCCTGCTCTGATACCAGTGTGGCAGAGATGACGAAGGGTTGAGGGAGGAGGAGATGGAGATGAAGCTGGAAGGGACAACGCAGCTCCGACACGGACTCAACACGCACGTACTCCAAAATCTGCAAAATGAGGAACGATATAAAAAACAGACTGCAACTGAGGTATACCCCTAACGGACTGATTGGACTGGACTGGACTGGCCTGGTACCGGCAGTGGTACTGGGCAGGACTGGATTGGACAGAAATAGCACACGGTCTGTGGGGTCAGGCCACGGCCTGGTCCGAGAGGCCGAACAGTCATATAATCGAATAGACCCTGGTTGTAGGCCAAGGCAAATAGAGGCGCGCTACACACACAGAGAGAGAGAGAGAGAGAGAGAGAGAGAGAGAGAGAGAGAGAGAGAGAGAGAGAGAGAGAGAGAGAGAGAGAGAGAGANGAAAGAGGGTGTTAGTGTGCGCAAGCAATTGAGGTGCGGGCTGGAGCGGGAGAATATGTGCGCGCGATCGAGCGGCAGAGAGGCACGCAAGCGGACACAGAGCACGCACGCCACACACACACACACAAAGAGAGAGAGAGAGAGAGAGAGAGAGAGAGAGAGAGAGAGAGAGAGAGAGAGAGAGAGAGAAAGCCCTGCAACATGCAGCATATGAATGGCGGGGAGCACAAGGGCAGCTGCTAACCTCGACAAGAGAAGAAAAGGTAATGTTCTATTCGAATACAAGAGTTTTTTCTTTTTGAAATTGGAATAGGAAAGATAAACTTTGTATTTTTTCGTGCAGTCTATTCGAAATGCCCTTCTATTTGAGAAAAGTGGACGAATGCCGTTTCTATTTTGAAATGTTCAACTCAAGGACGGCGGCCACCTCTGGCTCCTCCAGGCAGCTAGCGGTCCTCCACAAGCAACAACTGCCTGTTCCCCATGAAGTGCCCCCTCTGCAAATTCGCCACCCTTCCAACTACCATTTGGACCAGAACGGGCGACCTGTACGGCCAAAGGTCGGAAATAAATTTTTTTAGGGGTATAAAACGCAACCCTGACAGGGTGCCCGTCCCCCATGAGTTAGCCCCTAGCAAATTCACCACCCTTTGGCCCAGAGCGGACGACTAAACCACAAGAAATTGATTAGGCACCGCTGACAGTGCCCTGGCTAGCTGCGAGTTCAGGGTAAAACGCACCCCTGACCGGCCGCGAACAGGACTTTCGGTAGCATGGGGTGCGAGGGAGTTGACAGTCCCAGTACATTCTGGAGCGATTTGTATCGTATCCAGAAGGATCGAGGTCGCCGCGGTAGTCTGGTAGAATAGGCCGGAGCCTTCTCGGTCCGGCTTTTCTGTTTGCGACGTGATCGCAGAAGATTCTGGGAGGCCGTCCTAAAACAATTAAAAAAAAAAAAAGTTATCTGCGGCTGGAAGATTCTAGGGGCGCAGGGCGCGATCTCCAAATTTGATTGACGGAAGGAGGCAGCATCCTACTAACCACTTCCGCTGACTATATATATACCGAAATGCCGTCGTTGTAGAGGATCATTTCGATCGAGACGGACGAAGCGAAGCACATGTGTTATTGTGAAATTCGCGCAGTGAAGTATTTGCGGTTCGTGTGAAATTGGCGTAGGGAAGTACACATGCGGTTTGTGTGAAATTGGCGGAAGCGAACAATCCAACGAAGGGAAACAACAGGTACACGTGGTCGGACAGCGAAGCGTTCAAGAAGAGCTTAGCTTAGCATACGTGGTGGGGGAGGGGGAGGGGGAATACGAAGACCACGTCGACGCGTTCCCCGGCCTCGAAGGAGTGCATGGGCACGCGATCGATCGATCGATCGATCGAGAGAGGAGGGAAAGGAGGAGATCGAGGTACCGGGCAGAGCTGTAGTCTTACGCCGTCGAGACGGTAGCTGGCAGGAAGAATTCAGGAGCAAGAGAGAGAGAGAGAGAGAGCGAGAGAGAGAGAGAGAGCACCACGTAGACGAGTGTAGACGCTCGTAGACGCGCTCTGCGGCACTCGAAGGAGTGCATGTGCACGCTCTAGCAATCGAGTGACAGGTTGAGAAAAGAGAGAGAGAGAGAGAGAGAGAGAGAGAGAGAGAGAGAGAGAGAGAGAGAGAGAGAGAGAGAGAGAGAGGGAGTTGGAAAAGGATGTGTGCGACTTGGGTTCTCAAATGAAAGAGTGCAAAGAGGAGATGTTCGACTTGGGGTACGCCAGTTGGGTGGTGATTGATTAGTCGTTTGTCGTCGATTCCGGAGCCGTACAGGGTCATCGCTCATAGTCAACATTCTTTCCGCACACGCTCAGCGGTCGTGGTCAACTTTGGAGTCAGACTTCGCGCGCACGTTGGTCGGAGTCCACCAGCTTGAGCGCGCTGGCGCGCAGAGCTCTCGGGTGAGGTCGGGATACTTGTGAGGAACAAGACGGGTTGGTATTGCGGGAGCATGCTCTGAGGGGGACTGGAGGGCAAAGGTAGTGGCATTGTTGTCTTAACGGAACGGA